ACGTGGGTGGGGAACGTTACCCTAAATTTTCAGCTTCCTAGCTTCTGTGGTTCCCGAGTTGAAAGTCGCGGACAAGTTGCTGCGGACACACACACACACACACACAGACAACCCCGTAACAATATGCATTTTGTACTGCTGTTACACAGCACAAAACGCATAAAAAAGTACGCTTTCTTTTAAACATGGTAGGCGTATCGGGAGAAATATGTTCTCCAAAAAAATTAAACTGGATACTTCTTCCCTCTGCTTTCACGACTACAGCTCCTTGAAAAATTCTGTAATGTTCTCGCTTCGTTCATCGCCTTCTGTGCTGTATGAGTGATTTCTTTATAGAGGGGAAGGCATAGGAAGTGATTCCTACGCAGTTGTGCTGGAACATTAAATACAATGGATTGAACATAATACATTCATAATTTCTCTAAAGACGAAAAAGAAATCGGGAAAATGAAAAAGAAAATGGGGATCACCAGCATAAAAATTACCCGATGCTGTAGTTACATGAAGGCACAATCAACTGGCTAGAAAGTGCTCTACACTTAAATCAGCAGTTGGTGAAGATATCAAAATCAGTAGCGATTTCCGGCCTCGAACTTCTCCGTTTCCTGAAAAATCTCATAATTATGCACTGGCGTTGACGATCTTTAGGAGGCCTGGTTGCTCTAGCACACTTTGATTGCTTTAAATATCAGCTCGGCCAAGCAAAAACCATTAAGTAGGAACAAAATATGAAGCATAGCGTAGCGGATGGCTCGTTGATTGGGCACATTTTTCACAACAGTACACACTGATGAGGACTTGCATCTGTGTTTTTGCCATGATGAGGCGTAGAAGTTGAACAAAGATGGGTGAGTCTGATTCCTGGAAAATAGTTCCCTCAAAAAATGGCGCTTTTTATAATGCCGCTGTTGCTGCGTATTCATATTCCCCCCTCTTTGGTCCTCACAGTATGCATTAGTAGTAGATTCAAATACGGATCATGTTGCAGACGAGAAAGAAGGTTGAGTCATATTCGGGCCCGTCGCCGGCTGAGCTCATCCAGTCGCTCTACGACAATCGGGTATGCTCCTACTGGTTGGACGTGTATTGGACATACGAGCTGTGCCACGGCCGATACATCCTGCAGTATCACGATGATCGAGAAATAATACGAAAAGCGAGAAGTGAATATTATCTTGGGAATTTTCAACGTGAACAATCAAAATTGGTACGACATTAATACACTAGATTTTTTTTTTTTGCAAAAATCAAACGTGGCGATTTCGTAGATGTTGTCAGCCAAGATCCTGAGAAAAATTACCCTTATTGCACCCCTTCTCGTTGTGTTAAATTGTGATTTAGAAAAGTTAAAAGCAAGAATAAATAAAACGAACGCATTTTTTGAGGTGATCCAAGCTTGCATCCTGCGCTAGTTGTAATAATCTTTAAATTTCTCACCCTCGAAAGCTGTGCTGGTCTGTAAGGTTTTTTTGTGCGATATCCATAACGGTATGTTAAATTTTCCGTTGTGATAGCCGTAACAGCCCTTAAGCGTTTCCTCTGCGATGACTACAGCGTAACTGCTTCCTCACAATAGTAACCTGTAAGTTTGGTCCCTGTAATAACCGCGACAATGTTGTTAGTCTTTGTCCTGTGCATTGCTATTGCGAAGTATAGATTCCGAACAAATTTGCTGAGCAAATAAAGAAGCTTCTCCTTTCAGCATAGCTTTTGAAAGTGGGCAAGTACCTAATAAGAAGGTGTACATTTTGGAGGGTATAAATCCCAAGTTTGTTAGTGGTAAGTAATGTATAAAACTTTCTCTTCTGCATCCTTCCAGTTCCTAAGTCCTTTATTTGAAATCCTGTATCGTGTGTCACAGGTTGTGTTCGGAAATTCGTTTTTTTGATAGTGATTCTGATTTAAATACTGATAAATTGTCATGAATACTAATTCTGATTACCCACTGATCACAGTAACTTACTCTTTTTCCACTGATTTTTTTGTTTGAAAAATTGATCGCTCTGAAATCTAGTTTATTTTAGATATTAGTCTGTGTTTGGTGTACTGTTTTACAGGACGATAAGAATTTTGATGAACTGAATCCGCCGAAACGCAAGATCGATAACAAAGAGCAGCCATATTATCCAGTTAATTACAGACAGGGAACGGTCTGTGATCTAACAGGCAAACCACGGAAGACCACTGTTTTATATGGTTGCAACCAGGTTCTTCTTTGTCAATTTTTGTTTTTTTTTGTATTTTATAATTCCTCATTCAGCGATTATTGGATATATATCATTTTATAGCCTTTTCTCCTTTCCAGGCAGCAGAATTGAGGAAAAGTATCCAATTTAGCTGATTTTAATTAAGTATTTGACGAAAATAAATTTGGTAGGCAATGGGTTTTAAATGAAAGCATGCAGATTAGGGTCGAAAGACCTCGTATAACTACGCATTGCCTGTGGATACATTTCAGTTGTATTACTAAATTGAGAACCCTCGCGGGAGCTTTCTGAATGCTGTTGGTTTCACTGGTTTTTTTTTTTAAGGAAAAGTATTTTTGCCTTTGATAACATTTTTTGTAGTAATCAATGTTGCAGTCTGCGTATTCGTGAAATTTTTGCATTCTTAAGGCAACCTCAAGCCCCTCCTCTGTGCTACTCGGTCGGATTAGCTGAATTCACTCCTCCAACTCAATTTATCAAGTTTTATACTGCACTGATTTTGCGTCTGTTTTTGTGATATCATTTAAAGACAAACTTTGCGGAAAAGGATGATATAGTACTCCTGGCTGTTTCAGGATGCCAAGGATCAGATCTATTCGTTTACCGAGACAGCTTCATGCACCTATGAAATGATTGTATTGACGAAACGGTTGTGCTCACATCCGTCGTTTCAGCCGCTGCCAGATACTGACAATGAAATTGTTTGTTATTCGAAAGACACTCACAAGGAATATGCGAAGCCGGAGCGGCTTGTTCAGCTCGAGAAGGAAAGCGAAACTGCTTTTGAGCGAGTCAGTGCTGCCCAGCACAAGCCATGATCTAAAATTTCAAATCTTCACTTTGCATTATTTGACGACCAAATTTATTTGAACTCCAAATTTGAGGTAGAGACACTTGGAAGTAACCTGGGCATAGCATATTGCCTGTAATAACTTAACGCTAACCGAGCTGTCGGTGATTTCTCAAACACGTCGTTCATCATTTCGCCCTCAGTGGGAGACAGAGACACACCGAATTAGCCCAAAAAATAGTCTTTCACCTACAGCAGTTATTAGCCGCTAGCTTTTTTTTAAGAAATCGCTTGAGAAATAGAGAGGAAATAAAAGGGAGAGGGATCTAGCCGATTGTAGCACCCAGCTTGATCTAAGGTGCCAAAGTAAGGAAGGTGTATAAGCTGAGGAAAAATAGTAGGAAAAAACAATTGAGTTAAGACGTTCCGGTCTATGAAGTCATGTACATCTTAGCTCAACACCACGACTGGACCTCGTCAGTATGACAGTCGTGGTGTTCAGGGAAGGGAAGGAAAAGGAAGGAATATAAGAAAGAAGGGAAAAAGGTGAAAGAAGAAAGAGGGAAAAAGGAAGAGGAAGAAGAAGAAAGAGAATGGAGTTTATCAATTATAAATTTAGAGTGGTTAGGAGAGATAAAAAACGTTGTAATACAAAAATAGAACCTCAATGGACGTTCTGTGGCTAGTGTGGTTGTTCGGCGAAGCATCATCGCGAAAGGAGAGGAAATTTATATTTTTGTCGAAGCCTAAAATGTATTTCCACGTAAACTTTTGGAAAATAATTTAATAGATACCCACATTACTGTGAAGAATTATTTTCCAACAGTTCGACCTCACGTTTCTTTTTGCAAGTCAGCATTCTTCATTTTTAGGAGTATATGTCCGCCTTCCCACCTGTACAGCATCCAGCAAATGCTGATCCCGCCGAAGAGGACGATGACGACGAAGACGATGAGGACGATGATCTCGACGTAAGAGTTATTCTATCAAAGAAATCTTCGTCACCAAAATCTTCCGTGCAAAAGAGTTAGTTTTTAAAGATTCAATTAATTGTGAGGCGGAATAGCCAGAATTTTATTTTGCTACAGAGCCCTGAAGCAATGTTTTTCCAGCAACAACCCCAGAAAAGCCAGCTATTGATAGAGATACGCTACTTGAAGAAAACAGATATCTGTTAAGTGGAAGACACTGTTTGTACGGCGGTGGTACCGGCTGGTGGAAATACGAATTTTGCTATGGGAAAAGTGTAAGTATTGCTTTTCAGGACCACTTTCAGCCTAATGAGATCGTTTAATAGAGTAAAGATTAAAGAAAGCCAAACTGTACAATGGACGAAGTGCATTGTGGGGCAACACAAAACAAAATCATTGGCGACGCGCACGGAGGGGAGCCCCGTGCGATCATGCGTTTTTGCAGTGTAACGTGCTGTAATAAGATTACTCGAAATTCCGCTGGCTAGAAATCTGTTGTACATACCGATCCTCGAATTTCGGGAACTTAATTATCCAAGCTATAGTAGGACAGGGAACATTTCCTTGAAATCCTATGTTCCCAGCTTTCTCAGTTCCCGAGTTGTCAAAATTGCAGCTAAAAAAATTTCACGGGGCCGTGCGTAGCCACCACGCACAACGGAGGCTGAGTTTGATAAATTGAAGTTGTAGATGAGTTGAGAACATTTTCTGAAAGTTTCAGCCTCCCAGCTTCCCTGGTTTTGGAATAATTCATTTTCCCGCCAAAAATTTTCACGGAGCCATACGTGGCAGGCACGCACATCCCTGGTTCCGGAGTTATTCGTTTTCCCGCCAAAATTTTCACGAGGCCGTACGTGGCAGCCATGCATGGCGGAGGGCTGAATTTGATAAATTGAAGTTATGGATGAGTTGGTAACATTTCCTGAAAATTTCAGCCTTCCAGCTTCCCTGGTTCTGGAGATAGTCATTTTCTCGCCAAAAATTTTCACGGGGTTGTACTTGGCAACTACGCATGACGCGGGGGCTGAATTTGATAAATTGAAGTTGTAGATGAGTCGGGAACATTTCCTGAAACTTTCAGCCTCGCAGCTTTCTTGGTTCACAAGGTAGCGGTTTTCGCGTCAGGAGCCCTCAGGGGGCCGTACGCGGGAACCACGAACCAA